CCAACGGGGAAGTCCTTCCTTCCTCCCAACCAGGGTGAGTCGCGGACCCGTGTCCATGTCGCACACACGGCCTGCAAACTCTGTCCCGCCCTACCTACACTACATACCACAGTACATGCTTCGTTACATACTCTAAGAAAATAAACTCGACTAGTTAGGTGCCTGGATGCAACTTCATTCACCCGCCTTTTGTCCCGCCCTTGGGGTTCAGCCGCGCATCATCAATCGTTTACACACCAGCGAACCGCGCCAACAGCAGGAGTGGCGGCAGCAGCAGCAGCAACAGCTACACACACACACACACACACACACACAGTATGCACATCCATATCGTACAGCAAGCAGTCCACAGTTACAGTGTCCAGTCTTGATCTGCCAAGGTGGACGCTACCATGCGTCGCACTCCGACGGTGTTGGTGGCTGAGGAGGCCTGACCATACCATCGGATCACATCTTCGAGAAGCTCGCAGACTCCGCAGCCTTTGGAAACCGGTCGTCTGGCCCTACCCAAGATAGCCACGAAATTCCCTTCTCCTCTACGGTACAACTACCGATCCGGTGATTGCGCCTGTCTCATCGAGTCCAAGCGCACACTCTTCAATGACATGTCGGATTGGTCGCCTGCGGTAGTCCACTTGCTTGGTAAGTCAGCGGCATCTTCTCCTCCCACGCCCTGATCGCCCAAGGCTCAACCTTCCAAAGATGACACCTGCTGGGGCCATATGAGAGTCTTTCCACCAAACATGGTGTTGAGAGGCCCACTGCTTTCTCAACCAGCAATCCATATCTTCTCAATCTGTCTGAATCACACCTTTGCTTAGTGCACTTCTTCCCACTTGAGTTTATGGACAACCTACTAACCATTACTTGGGCCGTTCTTAGGGACTAGGAACTTTGCCTGTCATGCTCGGCTCTTCACTTTTACTCCCTTCGGAGACTGGTTTCGATGCAAAGTCTACTTTATGCTTTCTTGGAGACGCAGGAGTGCTTCCTTTGTGGAGACGTGTTCTCTTTGTAGTACATGGACTCTCTCTCGGATTGCAACCGGCCCTGGATCTGTTGCATCGCAACGTCTAATCATCGTTTCGACGTGGGCATAATCGTAGTAAAAGCTCGCTCGATCATGTAGCTATGAGTCTACCGGTAGGTCTTGCAGCGCCTGTGATGACAAACCTTGTTCATGCCATAGAGCGTGCCCCACGGTGCGCGGACAGAAACGTCACCATGTGCTCATCGGGTTGGTACCTGCGCAACTGCATTCAGCAGCATGGATTGAACAAAGGTGCCAAGTAGAGGAGAGCAGAATACAGCCGTCCAGCAAGAATAGGACGTTTCCGGGTAATCACCACGGTATGTCATGGAACGAACCGCGGCCTATTACACAACTCTCGTTTATCCTGTATGAGACGATTCGAAGGCTGCTCAGCCCAACAGCTACTCCCACTCACGGAACATCATCAGACAGCTACCAACGGACAATACGGGAGACCACGGAAGACGATGTCGTTTGCTGAATGAATGCCGTATGAGGATATATGTCATGCCTTGCTCTGCCAAAGTTGCACGCGGACGTCCACCGCTGCTGCAAGGCTGCAAGCGTCAAGAGACGTACTTGTGGTGATTTGGGCTGCACAGTCCACCTCGACCCAGATTTTCCCCAGAATTAGACGTGTCCACCAGAATTGCGAATTGCGACTCCATGGAAAATCGCAAATGGTGCTGTTCTACACAAAAAACTGCCATCTATGCCGAGAAAATACTTGTAGCCTCGAAGCCCAATTTACTGATGCATTTTGGTGGGCTATATTTATGCTCGATGTCACCATGACATGACGAGGGAAGGTCAAGAGGCAGACGCAGCGAATTTGCTGGCGCAAATACCCGACAACTCATCTCATCACCTGAGATAGAGATAGCTTCGCCAGGTCAACGATAATGGTCTTGCACCTTGCCAGCAGTCTCCTCCCTTACCGCCACGAGAGTTGTCAGGGAGAAGAAGCCTTGGAATGCGTCATGCGCCACAGGATCGCCACAGCAACCCTGCATCTCTCATATAGAGCAGAGCCTGCAATGCCTGTGTGATGGTTTTGGGATCACGTCAAGTAAATTCAATCATGACGTCTAGTATACTGCAGAGTATTATCTGCTCGTGGCCGAATTCGATTGGCAGGTTGGTACCAATATTCCTTGATTCTATATCCTTCATGCGAGCGCAACCAGATTGAGATGGGCTTCGAGCGTCAGTGGTGGACGCATGCAGCACGCTGATAACCCTGTTTGTACGACGTACGTCTTTTTGACAGCACTGTGTCGTCGCTGCTTTGCTTGCTGGTACTTTGTCCGCGCCATTACATATATATAAGGCAGAAGGTGCATTCTTCGAACCTTTTTGTTTCAAGTGCGCCAGTACTACCAGTATTGCTACATCGTCTTCCACCATCACCGTCGTCACCACTCAAGACATTGCTCTCTCCTTTTGCAACATCACCACCAAAACATCTTCAAGACTTATCCTTCTACTTCGTGACCATGGCTCGCACTCACACCGCCGCCAACGACTACGGTGCACCCGTGACAAACAACCGTTCAAACAAGCTCTACCGCCCTCTAATCATGGCAAACCACGTCCTACACTGGATATCCTCCATCATCGTACTCGGCATCTCCGCCTACTTCATCCACAGATACAGACACAACACCCACCTAGTCTACTGGCTCTCCATCGTACGTCACCCCCCCTCTCCCCCCCTCTCCCTCCCCCCTAACACCGCGCCCCCAGGCCGCCGTCGACGCCCTCCTCTACATCCCCGCCATCGCTCTCCCCGCTATGAAACGCTACAAAGGCCACGGCGCCCCCCTCGCCTGGATCTTCTCCTACCTCTGGCTCACGGCCTTCATCTTCGCCGCACAAGACTACAACTACGGTAGCTGTGCGCTGCGGTCCCCGGCGTTTGTGAACAAGTGCGCGCTTAAGAAGACGATTGAGGCGTTTGCTTTTCTTGCTTTTTTCACTAATGTTGTGGGTACGGCGCTGGAGGCTAGGTTGTATGATGTCAATCGTGTCCGCGGTACCAATGCAACTCTTGTCGAGGATAAGCATGCTGCCGGTGCGGTTCCGGTGACTTCTACGGCACCGCATGGAACTACTACAACTGCGCCTGTCCACACTACTGTTTAGACGGGGTTCGCATCTCGAATGTGTCGTCGCCGTTGCATGGGGCTTGGACGGCGAAGACGGACGGGTGGTACGAAGGCAGGAACAGTGGTTCTTGTGTCTGGCGCAGATGCTAACAGGAATCGTGGACGTGGAGAGGCAATGTGTAATGTTTAATCGAGTGTGCGTGTGTTTACATCTCAAACGAAGATGAAGGCTGGTTACATTCAACGATAGTGATGAATACCATCAGAGTCGTCATCACACCAACTGGCCTACATTGACACCGTACCGTACATGTCCGCCAAACACTGCTCTTGCTGTGATTGTAATGCCATGTAGCTGACCTCCAATCCACCATGATGATGGATATTCCATGAGTAAAGCCAGATGAGCAACCAAGCGCCCGACCTGCGCCACCAAGACGCGATGGTGCAGGAATCGACAAAGAACCCGCAATCACTTTTGCTGGCAGAGCTCACGCCCTCATTCCCACTCCATACCCGTACGCTCCAGCCTAGAATCGCACATGACCTTTGCAATTCAACATCGATGATGTCTTCTGCAACAGTGCTGCTGACTACTACATCACATTGCACATATTCAATGCAAATGTCGTAATCGGCATACTTCATCAAGCGACATCATACCGGATACAGGATACATTCCCAACAAACACCCTCGTCGACTTGCATCTTCCCCCCCCCCCCCCCCAAAAAAAAAGACGAGTCCAAAAAAAAAAGTCCAAAAAAAAGTCCAAAAAAGTCCAAAAAAAAAAAAAAGTCCAAAAAAAAAACTCCTACATCCCCGTAATATTTCAAAGAAGAAAACCTTGCTAAAAGAAAAGGGGGTATACTCATCAAAACCCGGCACCAAGACCCAAATATGCTATTCTTGAGATGACCTTTTTAGTTCTTGCGTCGCTTCCTTTTGCCTGCCGATTGATCCTCATCACGTGCAAGTCCAAGCGCCAACAACGACAACGACAACGCCTAGACGCCATGATCGATGCAAACACCATACCATACCCACATGCTATGCATCACCCATATCTCATGAAAATGGAAACCCCCACTCCATCTTTTCCCCCTCCGTGCCCAATCCAACCACTCACGCGTCCTCTTAGACCCCATAGGGCTGCTCCACCGGTCCACCCGGATGCTTGATACTTTCCTCATCGGCCCTCTTCCCTCCCGTCCCGGGATACCGCTGGGCCAACTCTTCAATCTTGGGTATCAGCTCGCCGATCCTAAATGGCTTGCTGACCACATTATCCATTCCCGCTCCCAGAAGCGTCGCAATCTGTTCTGATCTAGCATTTGCCGTGACCGCGATGATGGGTACATGACGTTGTAGCGCCCCGGCCTTTTCCAGCTCCCGGATTCGAGAGGTGCATTGCAAGCCGTCCATTACGGGCATCTCTTTGTCCATGAGGACGACGTCAATGTGCGGGGCATGAGGGGGGGAGAGCGGGTTGTAGGTTGAGGCTTGTAGGGCGTCGAGAGCTTCGCCACCATGGTTGGCGACGGTGGTGTGGATGCCATGATTTTGAAGTTGGCGTTGTAGGACTTTTTGGTTTACTGTGTGGCTTGATGTTAGCGTTGCTCCTCGTAAAAGGAAAACGATGATTGATTGCATGAGACATACCGACATTGTCCTCTACAATCAAGACCCTAAGGTTATTGGTAGTCCGGGGTCTGACCCGTGAGGCCACCAGCTCCTTTGCTGGTACGGGCGCAAAATCCTTGATTTTTGGCGGGATGGTGCGATCTCTTTCCTTTGCGTTTGATACCTTGCGCGAGAGAGCCAGGGCAGCCATGTCGGTAGTCTCCTGTGGCTCACTACTCCTTCGACACATGACATAGAACGCGAATGTACTGCCCTTGCCTGCTTCTGATGAAACACCAATCTCGCCACCTTGAAGTTCAGTCAGTTCGCGCGAGATGAAGAGGCCTAGCCCAGAGCCACCATAGGTAACATGTGTGCGTGGGCTTGCTTGGGAGAATCGCTGAAAGAGGAGCTTCTTCTCTTCCGCAGTAAGACCGCGGCCGGTGTCTCGTACCGCGAATTCTAGGAAGAGCTCCTCGCCATCACCCCAATCGGAGCCAAAGACTTGTTCAGTCCGCTTGGCTCGCATGGGGAAGTAGCTGACGGCTGGCGCGAGGCTTGCCGAGGGTCGCTCGCGAGACGCTGAGAGGATGACGTGTATAGTGCGGGTGTCTTCGGTGGTTGTGAACTTGATAGCATTGGTAGTCAAGTTGATGAGAACCTAGCAAGGGTCAGCAAAGTCACGAGGAACAAACAGGTGGGACAGTCTGCCTACCTGAAGCACCCGGGACGGATCAATCTTGACCCAATCGACGCCCAACTTCTTGAAGGAGTCGTCCAGTATAAACTCCATATTGATCCCGGCTGTTTGGACTTCGCCCTCGAACATTTTCAAAGCGCGTTGCACGACCTGCAACGGCTGTGCATCCACTGGGGTGACCTGGAAAGACAGAAGTATTGTTAGCTTCTCATGCTACTGCGGCAAAGGTTCCTCAACGGAGCTTACCATGAGCATAGCGCTGTCAAGCTTTGACAGCGTCAATACATCATCCACAATCCTCTTTTGATGTTGCGCACACAAGGCAATTGTCTGTGCTGCATCAATCGAGTCGGCAACGATGTTGTCAGCAATAGTTTGTGACCCCGACGATCGGAAGTCGCCGAGGAGAGTCGAGATCTCGTCTGCACACTGTAGTATGGCACTCAATGGATTACGCATCTCGTGACTGGTGATGTCGATGAAATTTTCTTGCTGCCTCTTGAGCTCCACCGCTTCTTCCATTTTTCGCTTCTGGAAACCTTCTGCCCACTTCTGGGGACTGATGTTGGTGATGCTCCCAAACACACTCTTCAGCATGCCGTGTTCATCCTTTTCAGGGAAGGCCGAAAAGAGGACCCATGTGTCACTCTTGTTTCGGTTCCGATCTTCCCATGGCGCCTTGAATCTAAACTCAATGTTGATAGCAACGGCGTCATCCACCAGACGCTTCCAGTGCCTCAGTATCAAGTCCAAGTCCTCATCTTTGACGTAGTCCATCCACCTATCGGTCCTATCTCGCTCCCGTGGAACCCGGGAGATTTCATACCAGGTATCGTTGCAGTATGTAATCTTACCCAGGTGGTCAGCAATGAAGAGACCGGCTGGAGAGTATTCGGCCATTCGCGTGAACCTTGTCTCGCTCTCTCTGGCTTCTTGCGTACGTGCTGCGAGCTGCTCGGACAGGTTGAAACGATCCTCTGCCGCGAGCCTGGCCGCCTTCTGGCCTCTGCGGATCTCTTCTTCGAACAGGACAACGGAGGCTAGCGAGGTTGCGAGCTGCCTGCTTAGCAATTGCACAAAGAGATTATAGTCATCATCGTAAGGCCTTCGTGGATTGACACCCATGACCAGAAATCCCAACATGGTCTCCCCTGTCGTCGGATGAATTGGACAGATGACAACATCGCGACAAGGATCCCCAAAGCCGCGCCAATCAAGGCCTTCCATGAGAGAATGCGGAAGATCTCCTGTGCCTATGCCAGTCACAACGGGCTTATCCGTCTTCATGACTTCGCGGAAGACGGGCCCAAAACCTTCATTGCCCTCCTTGAGATCGATCTGATCTGGTGCAGCTTGGTGACCGAATGGCACACCCAAAGAGCCTTCCAAATAGCAATACTTGGATCCAGCCCAACTATTGGAGTGCAGGGACGACGAGTCACTATCGTTGTCGTCATTGACAGAGTACAGCATGACGAAGGGACAGTCGAGATCGTTGTCGGTCAAGGCCAACAGGACCTGGCCCCAAAACGCTTTGACGTCTCGAGCCGTTGCCGTACGTTCACCAATCTCGCGAAGTGTGAGCATGCGTCTTTCAGCAATCTTTCTTCTTGTTTTTTCAAAAGCCGGATTGTATAACCCCATCACGGTTCCACCTTCGCCGACCATGGGTATTATGGACCATGAAAAATATGTCTCTTCGAGGAAGCCATTCCGTTTCATGAATAGACAATCATCGTCTTTCATCGTCGCTTGGCCAGTAGTTCGTGCATTTGCAAAGACCTCTTTGACATCATCCCAAATCTCTGCCCACGCAATCTTATAACTTTGACCCATGAGCGCGGGATGTTTCTGACCAGCAAGACCTGTTTGCGGATTAGCACAGTCTTACCGAAAACAGGGATAGCTCGACTACAAACCAATATAAGCCTCATTGTAAACGGCGACGAGCTCATCACCCCAGTACATGGCGGCTGGGTGAGGACTTGCCCTGGGCAGCGATTAGTATGTAGTCTACTGGGACGCCTGGAATCGTGGCAGTGTGAATACCTACATGATGAGATTACACATGGCGCGCAAGTCATTTGACCAATACTCTATGGGTCCCAAAGGCGTCGACGCCCAATCTATAGAGCGCGCAAACAGAATATGTGGCGGGAGTGAGGGCGACATGGCCAGTCTGGTCCAGTCAAAGAAGCCCATGTCGTGATTCTCCTCACCACGACCTGCGTGATGCCTGCCAAAGGAGTCAACATTGCCGGCCGATTGGGCCCGTAGTACGCACTCATTAACAAAGGAAGTTGAATCTTGCGTCGACGGCAAGAGGACAGCCGGTTTCGGGCAGAGACCGCTGCCATCGTCGCGTGAGGCAGGGGCAGAGGGTGCGAGTTGGGCCGGAGCAGATATGGGAGGCGTCGATTCTCCGACAGGCAGTGGCGGATGGGTGCCGAAATAATCTTGTGGTTCAAGCACTGAATCAGAGGAAGAAGTGGCTCTGTTGCTATGTGCAGAATGAAGAGTGGCTGATGAGAGGGAGGGCATTGCAAAATCCATCTGCGCACTTGTGGACGTAATGCTCGATGTGGAACAAGAGGGCAATGCGGCAGACACGACACGCAATCTCTTTCTCATGGTATGACACGTCCAAACGATAGCTCCATGCTCAACAGGAGGTGGGTCCCCTTCGGGCCCTTGGGTAGAAGGAAGATGGCTCATGAGCCAGGCGCGAAAGTGGTGATTGGCAAGTGCAGCCTGACTTTCTGCATGCGAGTCTGGTGGCTTGCCTGCGACGGATTCCCATATCGAGGGGCTGGAGCGGAGGGCATGGTTGGCAAAGAGGACCTGTACATGCGGCGCGTCGGGAGTCTGTGATTGACACTCGTCCAGGTCAATGATGAAGGTTGGCCTCGGATCGTGCTCGAGCAATTCGACGATGCCCACGGAACCCAGCAAATTGAGGGGGTCGCCCTTCTCGCGCTCATAGGGCGAAGTGGTCGGCGCCAGGCTCGACCGTTCCGATGTTCTCCCACTGCCACTCGGGATGCTGGTCGGCGCGGGCGGGCTCTGGCGATTGAAGGTACCCCGGGCCAGTGTCACCGTCCGAATGCCACTGTCCTCGCGCGCATTGCTGAGCATTCTGGCCGCCGCCTCGGAACTGGAGAAGCGCGGCGGC